TGCCTCTGGAGCACCTTTTTACTTTACTCTTACCACTGTAGTTGTAAATTGCCGCATTCGCGGTCCAGAAACGAGTTTGATGCAGTGGCGACGGAAGAAGGGGGTCGGCGCTTGAAGGGGGCCTTTCTTGTGGTATACACGCCAAAGGCGCGAATAAGCACAGACCGAGGTGGTGGAATTCTCGTGTAATCGCATGAGGCTACAATGGAGCGATTCGCAGTAAGTATTCAATTGTTTTAAAAAACAAAACAATGTGTGCTATTTGAGACATTCAGCAATTCTTATAAACACAACACTTCACACTTGTTATAAAATAGAGAAAATAAATACAAAAATTATTCCGAGTTAGGCTCTTCACTGACCCATAAAAATTATACTACGCATGTTACTGGACCTTATGCTTGGGCCCACGCTGTGTTCTGTAAACCGCCTTACCTGTTGGCGCAGTCTGACCTTTGAGTAGCACCAAGATGTTAGCAACTCGCCGGTACAGCTGGACGGTCCAGAGCTCCGCGGGGCCGATATATGTATATGCAGCAAAGACATTCTACGCGCGACACACCCTCAAAACATTCCTACGGCGTCTATTCTTGATCGGTATCCAGGCGTGCGAAGGCACAGAGACGAAGCGCTTCGGCGTGCCTAGGAAGCTTGATCACGCCGCGAGACCGGCGAGACTTGCGTTTGACGAGTTGTGCCTTTTTTCCGGCAGTGCTGCTCTTTCGTAAACACTTCAACGTGTTCTCAAAGACAAATATCATCGTATGCACATGGTTTTAAAAAAAGCTTATTCGGCGAATAACGGCGAATGAGTAGAAAACGTGTCGTCGAACACACTGCAGCCTCTGCAGTGCCGCAAAACGACGACTTTCTTCGTCGCAACATGGCCGTCCGGTGGCCGCATTCGCAGAGCGGGGAACCGCGATCCAGCAACGCGGAGCGCAAATTCGTCTGCCTCTTGCACCAGGCTCCTGGGGTTGCGGTGACGTCAGAACGACGACGAGCTCTGATTGGCTGATTGCAAAAAATAGTGGGTAGGCCTCAAGGCATCTAGCATTGAGGTCTACCCACCATTCTTTCAATCCAAGCCAATCAGAGCTCGGCGTCCCTCTGACGTCACCGCAACTCCTGCGCAAAAAAAAAAGCAGACGACTTGCTCTCCGCAATGCGCCCGGCGCGAGACTAAGAGCTTCGTCGATAATTACGTTGGTTTACATGTCTGGGCATGTTGGTCGATTCCACTTCTCATTTCACAGTCGACTGTCAGACAAAAAAAAGGGCGGGGATAAGGTCATCTAGGGAGTGCCTGGCATAAAGAGAAAGAGAGAGCGCTATAGGAGTAAGAGTGGTGTGATCTTCTGTTGTTTTGTGAGGCCGATGACCACCGCTTCTCCCGCTCTCTATGCCCTCCCTTCCCCTGGCATCGACGAATTTTGAATTTGATATGAAAGACTGTGACACGACGATCGATGACCCGTAAACCCCCGCTTTTTCTTTCTGGTCGAGTTTTCGGTCATGAAGTGTCCGTCGTCTCCATGGCCATCTCTTAATGAGATGTCCACAATTCAGGGCATTAAGGAGAACGGAAACGTGGAGTTCAGTGCACGCTTTGTTTGACAAAAGAACACATATTGTCATCAGCAAGAACAACCAACCCTAATCTACGGAAACACATCAGGGTAGGCTAGGACACCTGCTTGACACGTTGGCTGTAAGCTAAGTTTATCTTTTCTCGCGAATAAAAGGCGAAACACCCGAGTCAAAAGGGAGCTCTCGTGGATCGGTTCCTTACCTACGAATCTCCGGAGGTAGGCGCTGCTACTATGCGCACCGCTAGAGCTTTGTCTGCACAATTCCAGGGATGATTTCCGGAGACCGTAAGCTAGCGGGATGGCGGGTGGGGTTGCAGCTTTCGGTGCCTTGTCAGGATACAGGGGAAATGATTGCATCTACACTCTTTCTCTTAAATACAATATTTTATTTTTACAGGGGCTACCATAATACGGGCGTATGAGAAATGAAAAGTAGTCTCACAGAACATTTTCTTAAGCATCAAACTTGTTTCTATTTTTTTTCTTGAGAAGTGTACGGGAAAAGTAACGCGAAAGTAATTTGTGACGCAACCAATAATATAATCCGTTACTTTTCAGCAAAAGTAATTTATAACGGTAATCAATTACATTTGAGGATCGGTAATTGTAATTGTAATCAATTACTTTTTTTTTTTTTTTTTTTAAGTGACGGGCACAAGTCTGCGTATACCGGTAAGGTGACGTGCCCGGTTGCCAGACGAAGTTCTTGCTGTCGACAGAGTTTGGCAGCTTGGTTGTTGGTGCCGCCGAGAGGATCGAACAGAGTCATGTTCCGACTTTGTCCCCGAGCCGTCACAGACGAGATTGTTTCCTAGCAGATCGCCGGGAAGCGCCGATGACAAAATGCTGTATGAGATGGAGGGGGAGAGGAGGTCCCAGCAAAATGGAAGATTTCGGGGGGGGGGGGGGGGGGGTGCCCCATGACCCCCCCTGCTACGTGCCTGTCCACCATCAGGTACGACACCTCGTTGTTTGTAAACATGGGAGTAGTGACCCGAAATGGGCGTTTAGTCAGCCGAGAGATCGCATTCCCACAACGAACGGCGATCGAGCATGTAGCATTGTGTCGTGTAGATGTACTCAAATAATTCAAAAAGATATATATATATATATATATATATATATATATATATATATATATATATATATATATATATATATATATATATATATATATATATATATATATATACTAATAAAGGGGCCCGCCCTATTGAAAAAACCAGCTTAAGCTGGTCCCAGCTTCAAGCTGGGTTATTGCCCCAGCATGCCCAGCTTGGCATGCTGGTCATGCTGGTTGATCTGGTCATACTGGTCATGATGGTTGATCTGGTCCCAGCTTCAAGCTGGGTTATTGCCCCAGCATGCCCAGTTTGGCATGCTGGTCATGCTGTTAAACTGGTCATGCTGGTGAACTTCCCAACCAGTTTAACCTGTTTAAATTAATACACAGAATAAAAAAGCCAAGCTCGTCAGAAAAGCCAACTCGGCATCCAATTTATTATTTTCGTACTTGCGGCAGCCTCACATGAACTCAAATGCTACACATCCTCGGCGCTGACACAGTACTAACCGACGCACAGATTCTCGGTGCAAATTGTCTACAATGTTAATAAAACCAGATTGCTTATCTCTCAACACGAAAAAAATACTAGACACAGGCCAAAAACAGGCAATAGCAGACGAAAATACTACACGGACGAGAGGCGAACCTGGGTCCCGCCAGCGATGGGGGCGAAGCGGCAACTTGCGTGGTCGGCAGAGGCGAGGAAATCCGTGTGGCTTGGATGGCATTGGCGATACTCCTCGGCACCGCCGTCATTCTTGGGCACACACACGTTCGAAGACACGAAGCGACGCCGCAGTCGGGACGTCTGACATCTTCCCGCACTGAACGGACTGCCGCTCGCTGTCTTCTCAAAACCCGCTTCGCTTGCACCGTCGTTCAACTAGTCTCCAAACAACGCGCACACAGCCGTCCCTTCGATCTGCCCTCTGCCCAAGCTATCCAAACGCGTCTTCGATTCTCCGTTTCTACCACTCTCTCTCTCTCTCTCTCTTTTCTCGCACACAAAGGTAGCTTGCAGCGCGCCTGACGCGCCCGGTGGTCTACCAAAAACGAGAGGACAAAGAACAGGACGTGGCCTCGTTCCAGCAGCCGACCTTGTCGCGCGCGCTCCCAGCAATGCCAGTTCGGCTATCTCTAGCCGACCTTGGCGTGCGCGCTCCCAGCATGACCAGCTTGACCACCACGATTATTATTTCGACCAGATTCACCAGCTTGTCTCCCAGCATGACCAGCTCGTCTCCCAGCTTGACCACATTGGCTCCATGGAAAACCAGTTTGACCAGTTAAGACCAGACTGGCTCCCAGCTACACCAGATTGAATCTAAAACCAGATTCGAGTGAGACCATGCTGGTTTTTACTTAGACCAGACTGACCAGCTTAAATTCCAGCTTGCCCAGCTTAAACCAGCTTGATTGCCAGCTAAACCAGTTTAATTACCACATTGACCAGTTTGACCACCTTGATTACCAGCTTGACCACCTTAATTACCAGCTTGACCAGTTTGATTTTCATGCTGGTTTTTCCAATAGGGCGGTGGCGGCCCCCAACGAGGTTTCGACAATGGATCCGCGCGAAGGAACGCCGTCGTTCCATTGACGCACTCGCCGACCCTGGTCTAGCTAATATCAGCGGGGGAGCAATTCCTTCATCAAGGGCGCTTTGCCTGTCGTCTCTGGCGTGTCGTCGTCACAGACAGCGAAAATTTAAAAAGAAAAAAAGAAAAAGCAGCTTATCCGCACCCTGTCAACATAAAACAAAAAGCCCAGATGAAAAATTGAAAGAAAAAAAAGATCAACGACTTAAAGGCATACAATTAAGAAAGGGGTGAGCCTAGATTGCAGATTGGAGCTACCAGTCATTGTTGTTACAAGTTGAGCGCCGCCCCAAACAGCCCGAAGCGAGGCCCTGCCTCAAGGGACAGCACGCATCAGTTGAGCTCGTAAACGAATGATAAGTTACTTCGCCGCAGAGTTTCTTTTTCTTTTCGTCTTTATCTCTTACTCCCCACCTTCTCGCTGGAAAGATAAAGAAAAAAAGTGTCGTTTGCATTGGGTGAGAGAGGAATGCATAAAAAAGGCTCAAAATGGGCCAAGGTCTTACTTGTCCGGGCTATCCCATTTAATAGTGTTTTATCTCGTTTTATTCTATTTGCCGTCTTCCGCCGAGCGAGCGTTCTCCTTTCAACAAAAAAAGACGCTACACACACGCACGCACACAAACAAACACGCAGCATACACGCACACAGACAGACCCATACCCGTACACGCACACACACACACACACGCCAGAGGGCCCAGTCAACACTCGAAGACTGGCTGATGGCACACGAAGAGCTCTCCTAGGAAGGCCAGCGGGTCAACGGCGGGAGTCCCCCTCGCACCCCTCGATCGCGGGCTAACCCGGAGTAAAGTTAGCGCGCTTAGCTGGCCCGGTTAGCAGGAAGGAAGCCTCCCAACGAAGCCCGAAAAAGCGAAGCAGGAAGTGTGACCGATGACCCAACCTTGAAAGGGAACCAGCGGCTACGCCAACTAAAAAAGATCGGGGACAACGCGCACACAGTGTGCGAGGCCGTACCACCGCTTCCATCGCGCGCTCGTCCGCGCCCGTCCTTAGTGACGTCACGGCACCACGTGACGGTCTCGAGCCCCCACGTGACGACATCAAGAGCGTTCTCCGGGAGCGGCGACCGACCGATCGGGCGGAGAGCGCGCGAGGGAGCGATCGCAGGAGCGCCCAGACAGTTCGCCGGTGGACGTTGTCGGTGTCGGGTCTTGTGTGAGCTGGTGCCGCCGCCGCGTCGGAGGAAGTGTCGCTTCGAGAGATTCTCCAGTGGATGCGCTCGGGTTCTTCTTCCTCATCCCTGCTCTGCTCGCTTGTCTGTACTCCTCACGCGGAAGAGGAATCGCTCCAGGTGAATCCAGCTGGGATGCCCCAAGCGAGGTGAGGAGCCTCATTGGGTTGTTTTCTTTTGCGACAACTTTAGTACTCTTCTTTTCTTTTTTAGTTGTGTCGGAGTTGTTGTTTGGAGACGGGGTATGGATGTTTAGAAGCTGTCGTTGTCGTATGCGGGATTGTTCATGTCGTTGTAACTTTGTTGTAGATGTTGTAAATTTACATATTTCTGGGAGGGGCTCGGGGTGGGGGATACTATAGGCTTCTGTACTTTGAGACTGGTTGTGAGGATAACTCCTGCAAATGAGTTCAGGTTTGTAGGAAGGTTTTGGTTTAGACCAATAAAGATGTTAATTGTCCCGGTTCCCGTCACTGATTACGGAAGCTAGAGCCGACATGTTGTGTAAAAACTATCAAATGAAGGTTGAAATGAGCGTGTGTATTACTAGTAGTAAAGTTCAGGGCGCTCTAGACATCTAGCAGCGATCGAATTAATGGATGGGAAAAAAATACTTTGAAAATTGCATCGAAACATAAATACAAAATAAATTGACAACAATTATTTTCATTAAAAATGCAATTACAATTTTTTTTACAAAAAAAAATATTTAAATTCAGAATACAAACACAACAAGGGCTGTTTGACCATTTGCAAATACTCTTTCCAATTGCATATGGTTTCCATTGTTTGGCATTTTAATTGAACCTATCTACAACCCCGAAAAAAAAACTGCCTAGGACAAAAAATAAAGAAGGAATACTAGAGTCTTTAGTTTACGACAATTAACTTCTTATAAAGAAATTCATGACAGTTTTATAAATACAATACGCTTGGCGTAAGATAGCCACCTACAACGTCACGAAAAACAATGCGTTTTCAGTATATTACAGTGGCGAGCTAGAAAATTTTGAACATTCAATCAAACTTACGGCGCCTTTTAACCAACAATGCGACTTCTTCAGGACTCAAAAATGGAAGTAAGGAACCAAAGAAAAGGTCGGTAATCCCAGCATCGATTTAGTGTTTTTTTTTTTTTTGTTTTTGTTTTTCTTCTATGTTTGATCTTCACTTATACGTCAAGAGCACGTACCACACCGTTGTTTGAGCACTCAAACAACGGTGTGGTACATGCTTTTGACGTATAACTCACATCGCGAATCGAGTGTTCAATATTGTATTTGATCACAACAATTGTGCCTTAAATACCCGATTTAACTACAAATTAAATAAAAATACTCCAAATATTTGAGTTACGTATTTTAAATATACTTGCATCTGAAACAGGCACGTAGCCAGGATTTTGTTTCGGGGGGGGGGGACCCGTCCATGACAAAATGCTGTATGAGGGGGAGGGGGGGAGAGGAGGTCCCAGCAAAGTTAAGGATTTAAGAATTTCGGGGGGGGGGGGGGGGGGGGGGCAGGCCCCATGGGCCTCCCCCCTGGCTACGTGCCTAATCTGAAATGCTGTCCACCCCTACAAATCAAAATCATGCAACCAGGAAAAATAAAGAAAAACATCCAGTGTGATACTCGATATATTGAAAGAAATGTTTCGTGTATAAAGGAATAAAACCCGACAAACAATAAAAAAAAACTGGAGAACTGATGTATTTTAAACTCAAGACATCACTCGGAAGGGAACATACACTGTTCTATTGCGCACAATGTATTAGGCACCGAACGTCACATACAATAAATTATTGAATTTTTCGCGAGCCACATAAACGAGCAGGTATACGATTAATATCAATTCCCCGCTTCCAGCTTCGGGGACAAGTTATAAACCGCGCCGTGGAAGTTGTAAGCACCGCGGCGGCTACAAACAGATTAAACACCCACACGGCGTCGAACCTGGCAGAATACTGCACAGCGCGTAAAACCGACCGCCGTCGCCTCGTGCCGCTTACAAATTCCATCCCCGGCCGAAATGAAACAAACTGTTTGGAGCTGGTAAATGTATAAAACGTGGGTGGTGAGCCGATATAGGAGCGCTTCTATTTCTGTCAACGGCATAGGCACGTGTTCTCTTCTGCCTGCACCTGACATCCGAGCGCGTAAGTTTATCGCCTGCCATAAAACGCTTCACTTTTATACACCGCGGAAGCCAGACAGCGTACCCCATATAGATAGATGTTCTGACAGCAGAAGGTTAAGGAAGTTATTGACGAACTATCTCTCCACGGGTCGCGGTGCCGCCGGGGCTGAGATCCGCTCCGATAGCAAACCGAAACTTAAAAACCCGTCGATTTTGTGCGGTTTTTCAGAAAAGTGTGAAATGCTTCGCGTGCCTTCTATCGTTCTGCAATTTGTTAATTTAGTGGTTTTCGATGATGCTGAGCAATTTTCTAATTTAAACCATGCCCTTAAACACAATATTAAAAAAGTTAATTATGCAAAATTAATTAACAACTTAATTCTCCCGGACTTTAATATTTCTCCTAAATGGGACCATGGCCCAGAACCAAAACGCCACAAGCCTTTTTACGTTGCGATGAGTAGTTTTCGCAGGAGCGGTTTGGTCTGCGTTCTCTGAAACACCCTGATACAGTACTGCGATCGGGAACGCGCGGTCATATCACCTGTTTCCTGGTTCCGTGTTTGACGTGTTTTCAGTGTAGTAAATTTACGAATAACGTCCACCCCTTTTAGAGTAATGGAGTTCAACTTGTTCTTTCATTAAATAAAAAACACGAAAAAAAAAAAAAACTGGCATGGGTAGAGTTTTAGAGCCGCAGTATATTCATTATGCTTGTACATCATACAAAAAACATATTGTTGCTGCCGACAGCATAATCTGCGGATACGCGTCAAGAATGTTCGAAGCATGTTGGTTTCACACGTATGTATTTTTCGAACACGTCTGCAGACGGTTCCTGTACGACCCATGTGACAGGACTGGCATACACAAAAAAAAAACACTGTAACGAAAAATACTGAAAAAAAACACTAACATCATACAAAAGACAATCAACCCTGTCTACAGATTGTCGTTTGTCAAATGTATTAGTGAAACTACCGCGGTTCAAGCGTTATTGGTGACAGCGGTCGATGGCAAAAGCGCCGCGTACTTTTTAACTTAGGCTTTTCGCAAGCCAACACTAACAATATCATACAGTCTTGCTTTATCTTCCCACTCGTTTCAACGGCCTTAAACTTTTTTAAAAAGGAGAAAAAAAATGGGGCAACGCCGATAAACTTTTTTTGCTCGTTTGATAAACGATGCGCTCGCTTTTCTGGCAGCACTGTGGCACTGCAGCATCTTCGAAACGTGTCAAGGTTCAATTCAAAGCTTTCACGCTAATCCGTTGCGACACGTGGAGTCCTCATGACGACCCTTCGATTGGTGGGATAAATGGATTACTCGTCTAGGTCGTACACGACCGAGCACCGTAAAGAATCAGCCTTTCGATAAACTTGGCGTCGCGGATATCGCCCACTTCAATGCACGCGGGGAAACGATGTAGAGTTTAATTCTGGGGCTGGACACTGCGAAATATGTCGCAAGGAATCCGGTGGTGGCTGTGATTGGTCGGCGCCCCGCTCGACCTTGGCGCCGTCCAATCACAAGCGATCGAATTCTTCGCCGATCTCATTCGCCGCGTGTTCAGATTAGAGCCCCTGCACGAGGTATATAAACTACGGTACAAGTAAAGTTTCTTTACAAGAGATTCCCCCTACTAAAGACCCTGGATACCACTCTTTACAAATAACGACAACCAATTCGAATAACGAAGCACATTCCGCTGGAAAAAATGGCGCCATTCAGCTCAGTCTTCTGCTGTGCGCCGCCATTCGCTTCCTAGAACCTGCACCATCCCGAAGTCGGCCCTTCAAAGAATGTCGCTACTTAGTACTTGTAGGAAGCTCTTACCTATGAACTTTAATTAGTTCCTACGAGTAGCGACATTTTAGGAAGCGAATGGCGGCGCACAGCAGGAGAGAGAACTCAATGACGCCGGTTTGTTACTGTTTTGTTTAATCTATAGCTTTCCAGAGCCGTCTTTGTCTGCATTCCGTCTAGCCACCGATCTTTTTCTGTGGCCTTAACTTTCTTCTTAACTGAGACCTGCTCGTCCGTATCTCCACTATTAGCCCCGAGAAGTTCGCGTAGCGCCCCCTTACGGCAAACCGGGGTGACGTCACGGCGAGTACAGAATTTTTCCCCGTCTCGCCCCGCTCGCCCTGTGGAGGCTGCGACGACGTTAGCTGTCGGCGCGCTCGTTTCTATTGAATTTTTTCGGTCGTGTTTTTTGGAGGACGTGTGAATTTTTATATGTGGCTTTATTGAGGTATGGCCTGTAGCTGCAAGCGAAACTTCAACCAACATTTCAGGCATGATTGACAGGGCAGGCAATGCATGAATCGCAGCTGGTGTATGAAAGTAAAGAAATATGGCGACAATTTCAGGAGCATGACTATAGATCTACTCTCACACAATAAATGCTGTTGATGGTCTGTATAAATTGGCAGGTTATGGATACTATTTTTTTATATCTGTTTTTAAACAAGATCGCCGAAGCAAAAAAGCTGCATGTTGCTCGAGCAACATGTTAAATACTCTGGGCCATGGAAAGAAAATTACAAGTGAGACAGCCCAAGTACAGGGGCAAAGTAAAGAAAGAAGGAACATTCATTTTTATACATTGCTCGCATTTGACCTTTGCTGGATTCGGATAGTATTTCAATGTACTCCACTGATGGTATTTGTGGACTTGATTATATCATCACTCAAGTAATGTACGACAAACGTAAGCGAACGTGACTAGACCTTTATGAGTCCTTTAGCCTCTAAAATTGAGATTTTAGCTAAATCAAATTGCCCTGAAGCTAAAATACCAAAAGCTTTTCTCACTCAAACTGTCACCCTTCACAGGTTTTACATTTTCTGCTACTAATGCAGCATCTACCACTATAGCCGTTTCCACCTCAAGAACCGCAGTAAAACAAGTCCGGCTCCTCGCGGAGCATTTCTAATTTACCACTTTATGTGGATAGTTAAGATATATGTAGGTGAATTTTAGAATAGATATATGTTATCTTATCAAGA